AAGCTCTTTAGTTTCACTGTCTGTCAGCCACCTTTCTTTGTACTATCGCTCGCCTCATTATTCACTACAAGGATTTCCTTGTAATAAATCTATTCTTTCGTGGCCACTGTCTACACTCTTGTATTTCTGATTATAAGTGTTAAATTTCTATGCACTTCTTGTAAGACGTAACTACAACCCGCTTACAATTCGAGTTCTATAATCCATGCGGCGCATAGGAGCATTAGGCTGCATGGACGGGGAAGCTTGCATATCACAATCAATTCAATTTAGATCATGTCTTAAGATCGTCTAACTACTTGTCATTTGTTTCAGAGGCAACATCGATGTGAATCGCAGCGTGAAGAGGTTCGATCCGTGGTGCACGGTCGAATGCAGAGGTTTGCGTAGACGGTGAAGCTTATTTGCGTACAAAACTGTGAGGACCGGCACCCTAAAGGTATCAGCTAGTGGCTCTGGTTGTCTGTCCGCATTCGTAACTTGTGTGTCGTGGTGTTGTGTGGATTATGGAGAGGGAAGGGTGCAATAATTAATGAGGTTAAGCTGTACAGAAATTTTTATTTTCAGGTGTTGAATTCGCTTTGACCGGACAACATATCTGACATTGATTAATATGTTTGATTGTGTTCAGAATGACTTTGACTCAGGGAACGAGGTGTTAGTCGCTTTGCGCAGCAGCATCCTAGCTTCGGAAGCATCATTGAACTTGTGGAGTTGTAGGCGAGGATGGTTTCGGTCATATCCGTCGTTTTTTTCCATTGCGCATTTTAAATTACGAGCACACCGGGTTTTTATCAACAAAGTAGTTCGTAGAATATTTCAAATAAAAAATTATAGTAAATCTTATAGAACTTGGTGTTGACAAAAACATAGAAGGGTGGTACCGCCATCCGGTCAGCCCCTCCACGCCGTAGTCGCCTCCGTCCCCGTAAGGAGACGTCGGAGGCGGGGAGTGGTTGACATGTCACCCACGCCTTAGATGTAGGGGTATTCAGGCAGTGAAAGTTTTTGGTTAAAGATCCTTGATGATTACTTCAGACAGTCACGATTCTCTACGGTTGGCAAGGGGCAGTTTCCAAAACTCATGAAAAAGCTTCATGAAAAAAACCCTGATGCCTTCAAAAACAACATGCAGCTTCCAGAGTTGCTACTCTCCCGTTTATGACAGCGTAAACATCACTTCACAGAGCTATTTCTAATGAGTATTTTTTGTGTTGTTGCAGATACACCTGCGCTGTAACGATCACTCATTCGGGTATGCGAGGTGCCAATGAAGAGTCTGATCCTGAGCCGGAGGAAACTTACTCGCAGCCTTATGTCATCGAACGCTTTGTTTAGGTGAGGGTGCTTGATGATGTCCCAACCCCAAACACCAAAAAAATAAGGATGGTGGCCATAAACCAATAACACACAACTGAATGATTGTTATGGCTTTTAAACCCAAGACATGTGATGCATATTCTAGACTTTAACTTTGTCCCAACCCTACATGCATTGGTGCTTCAATACAAAATGTAGTAAAACCTGCCCAAATTAGGGCACTTTACCCTACCTTAATTACTTAATCTACATGAGTTATCCCAACACGGTAATGCTTGATGTCTGCAACTCCATAACAATTTAAAAGTTTTGCTGTGCCTTGGGGTGCTTACGACGCATTTCATTGACTCCAATTAGCAGGGGTCGAAATAAGCGATGGTCCGATGGTCCGGGCCATCAAATAATCAGGAGGACCATCAGATTTTCAAAGTCAATGGTCCGACGGACCATTGAATATTTTGGTCCTATTTTACGGTAATTTTCTTTGAAGTTCCCACGTTCCAATATACTATTAAAAAGTGAATAAACAATTACTGTATCGTCTGATATATTCATTGTAGGTGAATAATTAAACCATTTTACCACCATGTAAAATCTCTTTCTTAAGTTTCACGCCGCATTACTTTTAGAGATCAATTTGAAATTTAGGAGGACCATCTAAAATTTAGGAGGACCATCTAAATTTCAAACTAGATGGTTCTGTGGACCATCTCTTTTTTCTCCTTATTTCTACCCGTGCAAGATAATGTAAAATCGCAAATCTAACCTCGGGCTGTATGGTGTGCTCAATCCTAATGCAATCCAAGTCAAATTGCTCGGTAATTAAACCTAAACCCATTGATTGTTTGATGCTGTGAGGAATTGATTGCCAGTTAAATTGCAAATTCTGACTGAAAGCTAATGCTGTATGATTTGCTGATTTTGATTTGCAGTAAATCTGTAAGTATAGGCTCAGTGTTGCCAAGAAGTGCTTCAGCTTTTTGAGTTTGCATAAAAAGGAGCTATAACTCTTAAACCCTTAAGCCCTATAAGGTTTTCCACAGCTTCAACTCGATGTAGTCCAACACACCTATATTATAAAGCTGAAGATAAAGCTAATTTGGAACATCCTATAAAACCTCTGACATACCTTAATTACTTAATCTATATGAGTTATCCCAACACGGTAATGCTGTCGTCACAGCTTGATGTCTGCAACTCCATAACAATTTAAAAGTTTAGCTGTGCCTTGAGGCGCTTACGACGCATTTCATTGACTCCAATTAGCAGGGGTCGAAATAAGCGATGGTCCGGGCCTTCAAATAATCAAGAGGACCATCAGATTTTCAAAGTCAATAAATTTAACGGTAATTTTCTTTGAAGTTTCCACGTTCCAATATACTATTAAAGTGAATAAACAATTACTGTATCGTTTGATACATTCATTGTACAGCGAACGAGTTTGGCACTCGCCCGCTTAAAAAGCCACCACCTGCCGAAGTGGATTATGTTTGCCCTGTGTGCAGTGCACAATACAGTTAGAACTGATAGTGTGGGAGCAATTGCCATCCCATAGTGGAGTAGACAACTTGAAGACAATTTCAAACGCAATAACTCATTAAAACCACTCCAGGGTACATTATATCCAGGGTACTCCAGGGTTCCTGTTTGAATTGCAACCGACATAATGTCAAACACAGAAGCAGCAGAAGACTATATTGGATGGATTGCTTTTGATACAAACTGGCTACCGGCCACACATCACCATGTGTTTCACACATTAATGATTAGCACAGGGTTGAAAGACTCTAGACGGTTCGGCCGTTTTTCTTGTACAAAACACTCTATTAGGGGTAAGATACCTTGGACAGGTTTGTAATTTGTGGGGTAGACAATTTGGAGACAACTTCAAATGCAATAACGCATTAAAACCACTCCATGGTACATTATTACAGCACTAGCTGTCAGTTCCTGTTTGTATTGTAACATAATGTCAAACACAGAAGCGTTGGCCCAATAAGTGATTTATGTCCTTATATATGGTAATTTAATTAATGTTTTCTTTAGGATGCATGCATGAAGTTATGTTGTTGATGCTATGGAATGGTAACATATTATATCATAGCTTGGAACCCCATCTATTGTGATATTTTTGATAAATTTTGGTGTCAAGTTGAGAATTGTGTAAAATTATTTGGCAGCTATTTTACAATTCAAGATTGTAGGGAAGTTAGAAATAAAAAAGCTAAAATTTTTGCATTGCTGGAGATGTCAAAGGTCAGGGTCAGAGGTCAATGTACTAGGAAACTTGGAATATCAAACTGCGAAACAGTGTCCTCTGTGTCGCAACACTGTAAAGAGTCGGCGCTCATCTCAGCCGAGAATAATTGGCTTCATCATTAGACAAGGCCTTTATAGTTTATGTTGTGGCGCAACACTGTGAAGAGTCGGCGCTCGTCTCAAATTTGAAAATATTACGCAAAATTGGAAAGAGAATTGCTCGTGTGTAGACGGCGAGAGAGAGAGAGAGAGAGTAGACTCCGATGTAACGATGGATTTTTCTTATTTGTTGTAGCCACGCGTCAGACCTCATAGGCACGCACAAGTGGAGCCAGATTTATGAGTCGCATCCTCACCTCATCGAGGAGCTGCTTTTACGTGCACTAGCCAGCCAGCAGTTGCGTCCGCTCGGGCTGTCAAACCTGACACCGTTAACAATAAAATATTACGTGATTGATATGATTGCATTTATTGATTTTTTATAATGAAATAAATTCTGATGGTGACATTGATTATTCTAAAATTTGAAAATATTACGCAAAATTGGAAAGAGAATTGCTCGTGTGTAGACGGCGAGAGAGAGAGAGAGTAGACTCCGATATAACGATGGATTTTTCTTATTCGTTGTAGCCACGCGTCAGACTTCATAAGGACGCACTGGTGGAAGCAGATGTGTGAGTCGCATCCTCCCCTCATCGCGGAGCTACTTTTACGCGCACTAGACGGCCAGTCGAACCTGACACCGTTCAAGGTGATTGAGTGCAACCTATCCACGGATCTCGAGACAGCGAGAGAGAGAGCGAGAGAGAGTAGACTCCGATGTAACGATGGATTTTTCTTATTCGTTGTAGCCACATGTCAGACTTCATAGATAGCCGTGGGTGGAAGCAGATAAAGTCACATCCTCACCTCATGGAAGAGGCATATCGCGCACTACTCGGCTGCAAGCGCCGCAAGCGATAAAAACTTCAACGATGCATTTGACCATTGGACATCGATAGACACATCGATACTCTACTGAATAAAATCCACATCACTTAAAAGCATAGTTTCATCCGAAAACAAAGGAAACACATGAAAATATTCACAGTTCAATAGCAGTTGTTTACTAAGCGCTCTATGTTACCGATGTGTAAGCATTTACATGTTTGGTAGAGTCCTGGTTAAGTGAACAGGTTTTTTTTTTCTCAATAACTTCAATAACGCAATAACGGTATTTTTGGTGTTGGAAGTTACTTTTACAAAGGCTTAGGTTTTTGGTTGACCTCAACTGGTCACAAAAGGTCATGTGACTGTAATGGATGGTAAAATTCTCATAAACTTTTAGCACACACATGGAAATTTGTAAGGGGGAGGAGGGGGTGAGGCCTTCCATCAGTTCAATACAGGTTTAGCTGGTGGTTTGGACGAAAAGCTGGGGAATGAAGAAGATACCCCAGTGTTATGCCATTAGTCCAGTATGACCATCTTGTACTTGATGTTGTTGTTGTTGTTTGTGTGTGCAGGCAGTACATGGAAAGCAGGGCTGAGTTCACTGGTGACCTTCCTCATGTGCAGTGGACACGTGGCAATCTGAAGTCAGCAAGACAGAGAGATGGACACTCATGCGGTGCTTTTGTCATGTCCTTTACGTTATATATCCAAACATTGATGAAAAACAGTTCTAGCGATTGTGAAGGGCGGCTATCGCACGGCATCCTCACTTTATATTATCAAAGGTCGCCGACAGTCAGCACAGCATGGCTGTGTATGTGCCTGGGGCGGCATATTGATTGATGTACGGGAAGGAGTGCAGGATTGTTTAAAAGTCGCGTGGGTCATGTACATTATAGGGTGTTTGGGCGCTGCTGGGATCAGAGGACGACAGCAAAATTCTTTCCTGGAATTGAGGAAAAAGCTGCAATCGGGAATGACACAGTGAGCGTGCCGGCACGCAAAAAAAACGTGTGAATTTCATTACGATTTTCCATGTATATATTGTAATATCAGGAGTGTATAATATCGATATATATCTCTATATATAATATATAAATCTATCTATCTGTATATATATATATATCTATATCTATATCTACCTATCTATCTATCTATTTATATAATATAGATCTCTATATTATACACTCCTGGTAATATGATATGCACTGAACCAAAAGAGGACCTTAACGGCTCATAGATTGCAAGTAAATTTTGTACAGATCTGAAAATAATTAAGCGTCAAGGCCTGTGTTCATTCAGGTGGCAGGTGTTCAAGCTGAAATTGACAAGATACTATTCATCGGTGGGCTCAGCCACGAGACGACCAAGGAGAGCTTAAAGCTATACTTCGAGCAATGGGGCAAAATCATTGTCTGCGTCCTGAAGCGCGGCTATGGTTTTATAACTAACCAGCAGGCATCGCAGCTGGACAAGGCGCAGCAGAACCGGCCGCACATAATCGATGTCACGGAGGTCCAGTCAAACCGCTACTCACGAAAATATGAGCAGGTACGTGAAATTCACGACGACTCGTGCGCATGAGAGACTGCAGGCCTCGGTCTAGCGTTGCTCCTCTCACCTCGTAGTGCGAAGCGTGTATGTAGGCATGATCAATCATTGCCAAACGTGTCTTGCATAGTGGGGGAGGGGGCTAATTTGCCCCCCCCCCACCTCAGACCTCTGCCATTTATCAATGTTTGGCATGTGTGTATATTAAATAAACAGTAATGTCTAATAATAAACAATGCATCGATGTAGTTACATTTCCGACTTGCTTTGATGAAATGAGCTAAAAACAAGTACAACAACATGATTTTTTTTTTCAATTTTTCCAGATTTTTCCAAAAACAGATTTTGGAAATGCTATGTAGATGACATACAAGCGGTGGTTACCAAGGCATCCACACGCATCCTCAATGCTCATCTCAACTCAATAGATATGTCCGGCAACATACAATTCACCTCTGAAGAAATGGAAAACAACAGCATTCCTTTCCTAAACACGAAGATTGTGAGCAGAGAAGATGGTATGCTAAAAACCGTGGTCTACAGGAAGAAGACCCATACCAATCAATATCGGAACTTCCAGTCTCACCACCCGATAACTAAAAAAACTGGGAGTCGTCTGCACACTACTTGATAGAGCGAACATCGTTGTAACAGAACCGGAAGATATACGCGCCAAGGAACTTGAGATTCGACACGCACTTCGAAATTGCGGCTACCCAAACTGGACAATTGAAGACACAAAACGGAAAAGAGAAACAAAAGTGACCAACAACAAATTGAAAAAGAAGGGGAACGACTTGAAAACGAAAAATACGGAGTTAGTTATCATTCCTTACATCAAGGGCATGTCCGAGAGGTTAGCCCGCACATTCAACATCTCTTCAGCTTTCAAACCCCACAAGACAATCAGGAACATCTTAGTTCATCCCAAGAATAAAATTGAAAAAAAACTACAGGTTGTGTATACCGTATCGCCTGCTCGAACTGTGACAGCGCGTACATTGGAGAAACAGGCAGAAAATTTGGCACACGTTTAAAAGAACATATGACTGATGTCAATACTCACACAAAAGGAACCAGCACACGAGCGGCTCGTGCGTCCACTTCAGGACAACAGCATAAGTCAGCGATAACAGACCATATGGTCGATCAAAACCATCTGCCGGATTGGAAAGAGGCCACTGTGGTGTCAAAGGAATCAATTCCGAGGCACAGACAAATCAGAGAAGCAATTTACATCCACAGAGAACCGACTACAATGAATAGAGATGCGGGGTCATACCATCTATCCCACATTTACGACAACGTACATTCTAGGATCTGCACCCACTCGAGATGACCGCAGGCTTGGAGGCCGCCCGAAAATGAATAGGTTCGAACTTTCGTTTCCAGTGCTGAAGAACTGAGAAAGAACTGAGAAAGTCTGTCAGAGAGATGGACGAAAATTTCGTCAGAGTAAGTTATTTTGTACTTATTATTGATCTAACTGAGATTAGTGTTTGTGTTTGTGTGCTTCGTGAAAAAAAAATATAAATAATATATCCGAAATACATCAATGTTATATATATTTCTCTTCCCATATATATGTTATTGGGTTGGTCACTGCGGATCGCAGCGGAAAAGGTTGTAAATTTGCTATTTACTAAGGATGAAGGCAGTGAATTCCAATACGGAATCACAGAGACAAAGAAGCTAAACTTAAAAGGATTCTTAGAAGTTTGTACATGCCGAAGCTTTGCCAGACACCCAGACATGGAAATATTTCTTAAATGTATCACAGTTGAAAGAAGCCTGCAGGGCACCGTATGAGCACCCTGCATTGATGGGGGAGGGGGATGGTCTCAGGGCATGTTCCCCCACCCCAAATAATAGAAACATTTTGATTTCTAGATGGAGTTTCCTGCTAGTTGAGCAATTTTCAGGCAGTTTTGTAGCAACAAAACACCAAGGTCTTGAGAAAATTCTCATATGACATACGTGTATGATATCTGCTTTTTCCCATAGTAGAACTGAGATGAACACATCTCCATATAACGTAAATGTTTAGTTTTTTATTTATTTTCAAAACCCACACAAGACCTTTTCCCAGGATGGAAATCCAGCTAAGAAGAAACTCTAACATGCACATATGTCATGCCTACAAAATCTATATTTTAAATAATATCTCGAGCAAAACATGGAAAGTATCGAGTCACCATTCATACCATTTCTTTCTGAATTTGTAAAACATCAAAAAATTCAATAACTTCCATATCTGTGGTCTAAAATAAATTTGATTAAACTTTCACTGATTATCTTGTATTAATGTTCACTTTTATTTCATATTAATTTGATACCAACACATGGAATAGACTTGTCTCATCCCCCCCTACTTCCCCCTTACCCTTGAAATTCTCATATGAAGTATGAGTGAGTATAACTCATCACCGTGCAGGAGTGTATCAATAGGAGTGAGACAGACTAAAAACGGCAAAAATTCAACATTATTGTAGCCTATATGCTACTATGATTTATTGTGTTTACCTCATAAAACTTGCGCTCCTATCTTGCTTAATACATTAACAAAACTTTATTCGTGTCTAATTCGTTGGTTACAAAATTGACAAATCGGGGAGAGATATCGGTCGAAAACGGTACAATTGTGGTATTTTGAAAGTTATATCCCATTTTTCATCAAAACTGTGAACCGAACATAAGGGCGCAAATGCTTTTTGAAAGCCTCTCTATCGATTAGCAATGCAAACATAAGCAAACACTATAAAGGAGAGGTTTGCTAGGGATTTGGAAAGTTAAACGACGACTTGTGTTATTGATACTATTTACATTAGAAATAAAAAATTATCAACGATGTTTAGTATTTTTATCGGCATTTTAATTTTTTCAGTAACATATTGTTCATAGAACATGTATTACTGTCATCGACATTGGCATATAATAACAAAAGCGTTTTAACTTTCTGAATCCTAGGCAGAACTCGTAGTTGTTTGCTATTTTTGCATTGCTAAGCGATAGAGGGTTTGCAAAAGCATTGCCTTATGTTTGTTCACAGTTGTTGAAAATGGATTTAATAACTTTTCAAAAACCACATTGTACGTTTTGACCGATATCTCCGAATTTGTCATTTTGTAATGGACCAACAGATTAGGACACGAGACTAAGTTAACATTAAGACAAGGCCTTGGAGCTAAGTTTATGCGAGGTAAAGCACAATAAATCATAGGTAGACTAAGGCTACTACATGTATTGAATTTTGCCGGTTGTAGTTGTCCACTCTATTGATACACTCCTGGATAGCGTGTATCGGATAATCTGCTTTTTAGCATTCATTGAATAGTAGATGGCAACTTTGTAGATCGCTTGAATCGTGCCGTTGGAAGGTGGCGATCGTGCCGTTGGTGAGGTACCGTCGTTATGGCCCGTACTAAGCGCGTAAAAATAGCGTCAACAGTTGGGCAAAATCTTCTACCGTCGACGCTACGGTCACGATATTGCGGGATGTGGGGGTAATGCCGAAAACGAGTTGGATGTCGAAGCTGGAGTCAAAGTAAAAGGTACCAAGACGTGAGAAAGAAGGGGAATTCACATCCTTAACTTAAGGATATAAGGGACGAATGCAAATTGCGGCATAACACAAATCTTAAACGGCCTTCACCTTAGGCTCGTGATAGTCGGCTGTATAGCATCATGGTAGGAAAACCATACTGTGTGCGAAATTTGGAGGTCAAGTCAATAGGTCATGGGCAACACCGGCAAGATTTATAGACATTTTCTGAGGACCTGGTCTCGGAAGCGAGTTGAATAAAACAAACTTTTTTGTTTTTCAAGAGGTGACGCTTATAGCAATTTATTATGGTTTATTGAAAGCGACCATGAAATGTCATCTGCTGACATACGAAAGAAGTAAGTGTCGGATAACCTTTATGACCTCAGATGAGGGTTAAATTGGATTTTGTTTGACTGTCTGTTAGAAAGAATTTGATCTCGCAGGTTTCTAGTAGAATCTATACATGCTCTGGATGTTCATCAGCTCCCAATGTAGCAGCTGAGAGTGTTCAAAAAGCAAATTGGTGATAAGAAAGGGTGTATTTGACTTAAATCCTATAATTTCTATGTCATATCGTTGTACTGTGAGTACATGTACGGTAGTATGCCACTTGGTGCTGCAGGTGATTTTGCCTTGCGCTAATATTGCTATGCCAGTGGCACTCTCATATTGCTAATTTGAGGCTTTAAGGCTTGGCGAGGTAACATGGATAGAGTGCTGTACTTATATTCATGTCTCAATAGCTTGGTTGCTACTACGGATGATGGGAGCTTGTCCATTTTTAAATTGACAGACTACTTAAACGTAACGCGGGCCCATCTCGTGGCCCAACTCTCATCAACCCGATCCGTCAACGAACATAACTCTCTTCAACCGCAACCCGTTCCTGAAATACATCCCTGTTCTTATCCACCTGTTCGGGCTGTATGTGACCACATTTGGGACTAACAGGTTTTACTTAGAAATCCCCTCTACTCACGGAGTCACTCTGCGTAGACTAATGAGCGCTTGTCGTAGCGGCACTTGTTCCCATAAGTAGAACAGAGATGAACACATCTCCATATAACGTAAATGTTTAGTTTTTTAATTACGGGGGCGACACTGCAGTCATTGAACCTTGAACTTGAAACCTTTCAACCTTGAACTTGTGTAACATTGGTAGCCTCTTGGGGGGGGGGGGGGTGTGTGGTGGCGAGCCGCTATGGGGCAATTAAGATATTCTACTACTTTGATAATTGATGCCATTTTAAATATAATTTTCAAAACTGTCATATTGGCCTGCCGTTTTACGGTAATAATAGATTAATTGATTTTACTAGATTTTTATTGACGGATCGATATGATTCGAATGCGATATTACATCAATAATCTCATGAATTATTCTCATTATTTAATGATAATGTTATAGTTCTTCGATAAATAAATAGAGTAGAGAATCGACAAAATACACAGTGGTGCACTGCAGCATCAAATACATTGAATATACATTATAACATGATTTGATAAATAATACATGATATAACGGTGTTTTAGACTGTATTGGGATTTTGAAAACATGGTTGGCTAGGCCTTCTCGATCCATAAAAAAAGGTCAGAAATAGAAAATATAAGCTATATTGGCATCTTTGGCCTCCATTATTATTTGTGTATCTTCCTAAAGCTTCATCTTACTGCTCGTGCCTCGGCCGCCGTCTTCGGTGTCGCCATACTCCCGCGCGCGAGGCAAACCAAGTAGGCACCACCTGATGTGCCGTGCAGCGATGTCACGGCATGGGACGGGAGCCCGGCTACGAGCGGCCAAGAGCAGGGGGCGACACACGATACTGAGTATTTGGAGCCGGCAAAGCTCTCGTACGGATTCGACGTTCCCCGTAAAGCCCGTCAGCAACGGGGTCGTTAAAAAGTTTTTGTCGTGGGAGAGATCCGCATTAAATATTTGTCGTGGCAGATCTTGCACATGCCGAAATGTATTCAGAGGTGGTCACAATAGCGCATATACAGACAGTCATCTAAAGATGGTTGGCGAGTGGGACCCGCGACAGAAAAAAATGAGAAATGTCGTGGTTATGTTCGTGGGTGTTCGCAAGTCAGTCGTGTGATCAGTGCGTTGGAGTATGTGCGGGCAATATGTCGGGGCTAGTTTTTGGTAGCGTGAACAAGGTGTGACGGTGGCTTAAGTCAGACGGGGGAGTTTGCGCTGCTACCTGTGGGAGTACGCGCGATAACATTGGCGCAACTTACAGTCGTGGAGTGAGTCGTGGGTCACTCGTGGAGACTCGCGGCGTCGACGTCTCCCGACTTATAGTAACGAGGATGCCACGGTCGTGTTGGAGCCTGCCAGTTTTGCTGTGCAAGAGATTTTTTCCAAGCGTGGAACATTGTAAGTTAATCTGACCCGAATTTTTGAGACATTGCCCACTTTATTTTAGTTCAACTTTTTGGAAATTTAAGTTCCCAAGATTAGTATCCACAATGACTGTAATACGGAAAGATAATAATAAGGGCAGGTAAATTAATATATAAGTATATGTGAAATTGAAGAATGGGAAGGGACTAAGAACAAAGCCAGCTTTGTTCTTAAGGGAAAGCACGTGGAGGGTAAAGGTTCAAAAACGGGGGGCGGAGTTAAAGGCCACCGGAGCTCAGCCATAGGAAGGTCGGTGAATTAGCAGCGTTGACCAGCCGTCAGCTCGAACGCGACGGATCGGCAATGGAGCGCGGACTAAAGACAGAAGGCAGCTGTCGCTATTAAAGCACGTTTAATTGAACAATTATGCAGGGTCTGTCCTACATTTGCAACTACGAGTCACGATACATTCACGCTATCTGTTAGGTGTTGCTGTCAAGGGCAGCGTACAACACCTAACGTTGATATGAAAGTGTATGTGTGTCGCGTACCCTCTGTTCATCGGACGCCTATTAAAAGGGGCGTCAGCCGCGTTACGCGGTATATGTTGTAGCAGTACGATGGCTGTGCTACGAGCACGTAATCCGTTTGATGAGTAATTTATGTATGATGTGAAGCAAGCGTTTCTCTACAATTACAATAACGCAGCTACTAACGATACACGTACACATTCATAGAAGCGGAAAAAGCGG